TCTTGTCAAGTCAAAAGTCCTCACTACTTGTCAGCAGCCACCTAACTGTCAAATATTAGTTAGACTGAGTGTCTCATGGTGGCACCAAGTAAATGGAAGGTAAAATGCAGAATTGGTATTTTTCTCACCTGCTATTCCTTAAACCTGGTCTGGTCCAATGTCAGGTTCAGACAGGAGTCTTCACTACTGCATCAGTCAGCAGCCACCTTGTAACTATATAGACATTAGAGGTTACACACTTGTCTCAAATAGCACCAAGTATATGGTAGGTGAAATGCACAATTCAGATTTTTCTCACCTGAATTGATATTCATCTAGAGTCTTCAAATCTCCAGGTCTGGTCTGGTTCAATCTTCTCTTGTCAGTTTCAGACAGGAGTCCTCACTACTGCATCAGTCAGCAGACACCTAGCTATACAGACATGAGAAGTTACACAGTGCCTGAAATGACACTGATTAAATGGTAGGTAAAATGCAGAATCTAGATGTTCCTTACCTGGTGCCTCTGTCATCACAAGTCTCATCACATCAGTACTGAACACCTGCATAAGTCGCTGACCTTCACAACACAGCTACATTGTAACTCAGACAGGATTCTATGAAAATAAATGATTACAAAGTTAGCAACCTGCCATACATTGCAGAAACTGCCAAAATAACACAAACTTTACCAGTTATAGATACCTTAGTCTTATCCATGTAAGGCATTAAAAGCAATTTTCAGTGCTGTGTAATTTTATGAGTCAATTTTTTGGTAATTTTTAATGTAGTAAGTTGAATCAAAATTTAACCGTTAAAGTTGTACTTTATCAACCCTCAACAAAGTTGATTGTTCCATATTCTACACTGGCGCTAGCTATTTAGTAGTGGCACCTAAAAATAGAGGACTCTTTACATAGCTTGTTTAGGTTAAAATGAGTATGAAATGATTTTAAAACAGTGAAAAACAGGGATATTAACAGCAATAAAAAATCAGACCTCTTCAACTGAAAACATATTAATTAAACTCCACGCAAAATTCTGAAAATAGCAATTGTAAACTATAGTGTTTGGACATTATAGTTAATGAATTAATCAAAATTGGAAATTCTTGCATGCAGGAAACATGTACAGAAGAATGGAACTTTTTGTGCCGTGTTTATTTCGACGCCCTCAAGATTTAATAAGGAGCCCGCCTTGTTTACTTAAGTTTTGGCGGGAACACATTTAATTAGGCACACGTGTACATTCCAACAGATGTATCTACACGTGTAGATAAAGAAGTCAGTTTTTCTACATTAGTATAGCCTCAAAACGTTGAACATTTGGCAAAAAGACATGCATACACATACATACATTTAATACTCTACAGGAATACGCCGCACATGGTTAATGCTGAAGAAAAATGATTTGACTTTTCAAAGCCTGCTTTACGTTAGGAACGGTCGCTTGGAACTTACAGAACCACGCGCTTTCATACGAAATATAACTTGACATTTTGTTACTAGTTGCAAGCGAATAATGTCAAATTGTTAGCCGACAAGTTTGTTGGTTTACCTGCAACAATAAATGAAGTCGTCTCCATTCCACGCCACCCAAACTGCCCCGCCATTTTGTTGTCTTGTCCAAAATTCACCAGGTCAGGAAATCCGCATTTTCTCTTCAAAACGTCACTAGAACGGCATAAATCCACGGCGAAAACCTCCCCAGCGCTCTGCTGCACACTTAAGAAAAATTCCACCGACAAAAACTAGAGAAAGTACTCGAAAAGTTGAAAGAAATAGTAGCCTAGAATATTCCTGTCGTGCGAGTGCGCCATTTCGAATTGACCACGCCACACGTGTTTTTACACAGGTGTGGAAAACAGCCGTGTCTAATTAATGTGGAACCGGTAATCTAATTACGAATGGATGAAAATGCAGCTGCAGGGTGACTTTAGTATTCTTATTATTGACAAAAAACGTTTTTACCAATAATACCGTATTCCCGTTATTGACAAGTAACGTTTTCACGAATAACATTTATGCGACCACGCGATTGTGGGGACTGCATTTCGCGGTACAATGAACACGCCTGTCCTTGGTGCTGAACACCATCCACACACAGGTAAACAAATACGAATCCTTTTTTCTGGTACAAAATAAAATAAAATAAAATAAAACTAGAAAGGCCGACATTTGCTTGGGAGCAAATACAGCATATTTCAGTCCATCTCCCTCCCACGCAAAAGTGGACTATTCCAAACTTACCCCAGTGCAAAACTGGCAAAGGTTCTCAAATAAATGAATTAAATAGTAGCCTGACTAAATCGCGCTCCTGGCGGCCGCCGCCCTAGGTTGTCTTGGGGTGGGGGTCATTAACCTCCGGCCGAGAGCTTTGTATACACAGGCTAAATTAAATAGTAGCTATGTAATTGATAACAAAGATGCTACAACAAGCACTTTGGATCTCGAATGCTTTACTAATCTTATTACAGGCATGCAAATACTAACAATGATGAGATTTTATACATTTTGAAGGTCTTAGCCACATAAAAGTGAATGTGTGGGTCATTACGCACGACTTACGTGCAATGTGACCCCAGGTAACCCCCAATGGAACACGTGTTCCATGGCCAGTGGCAGATGGAACAGGCCATTCTTTAGATAGAACATGGAACGGGTATAGCACTTTTGGCCCTTTTTTGGCCTGAAATAGCCATTAAAGTCCCCCAAATGAGTCATTTGGAAGTGGTGTATGCCAAATATGTGACTGCTATTCTGTAGACACATGTTCAAGGTACCCTTATACCGAATTTCAGAGCATTTGGTTGTAAAACCGGGGCTCAGGATCCAAAAATCCATTTTTTGTCGAAAAATGCCCCAAAAAACCTTCATAAAAATTTTTCAAAGGCATGTATCAAAAAAATGAAAAAAACGCCTGGGGGTATTGGCCCACTCTACCTCCATGCCAAATTTCAAGTCATTTGGCTGAATGATGGCTGAGTTGAATCCCTTTGACTGTTTGGCAGGAGAAGGAGAAGAAGAAGAAGAAACATCAGAGAACACAATATATTTCATCCATACCATGGTACACAAATCTTGTGTCGGAAATGATACCATCTGCAACTGGCAAAATTCTTATGCAACGTTGCCCAAACATCCAACGAGAACCGTGAAAATCCGAGTTTCGCGCAGACGCTCACATTCTGCCGACGTACTAAGAGCACGAATGGTCACCGATTGTTTAACCTGATCTTGTTCTCTCCTGTGAGAGGTTTTGAAATGTTGGTGTCTTGGTAGAGCATTAGATCTTTCGTCGATTGGAAGTTAAGACTTATACCCACGGAAGCCTCACGGCGGTCGGTTGCTAGGCTAAAAGTCGCATTACTAGGGAGGTATCGGGTTACAGAACGTGTTCGAACGTGGCCGCGCGGGAGTCCCAGGCCGGCCCGGGGGCAACGGGTAAAATTTGAAAATAAACAAAAGTAATTGGAGAGTAAATACTTGTCAAAATAAAATGTAATAAGTGATTTTGTTTACCTCAAATGTTATTCTTGCACTGCGTTTGCTCCACTTTGTGTACATTTGCTTCCAAATGAGATCAATTTCGGATTTCAAAAAGGGTTCACGAGAACCAAACAACTGATTTTAAGAGGCCCCGAAAATTAAAAATAAGGTTAAATTTTTTGGATTTTTAGAAATATTACAGTAAATTTAAACTTTCTGTCTTAGGATTTTTATTTTTTAACTAAAACTCGACTTACAGTCAAAAGAAGAGCTAAAAACGCAGTGTTTTAACTTTAAATACCGATAATTCATAATCGCGGCCATATTAATAGATCTAGATCGACATAAGACCTAGATCGACAACATGTACCCTGCTGGCTGTCTAATGTAAGAAAAATGTTAGAGGAGTCCGGTTACGCCTTTCTATTTACAAACAACAGTCTGAACTTGTCTGCTTATTCACTTGATTTTAAGAAAAGACTACAAGATATTTTTATACAGAAATTCTATTCTGAATTAAATTCAAACGGCCGAGGAAACAACCAAGGCAACAAATTAAGAACATACAAACTGTTCAAAGTTACATATAATAAAGAAAAATACCTAAGTATCCCAAATCCCGAGCATCGCCGGACCATGTCAAAACTACGAATTAGTGACCATAATTTACACATAGAAACCGGCAGACATAACCGGACTCCTGTAGAAGATAGACTCTGTAAGGTTTGTAACTCTGGTAGTGTAGAAGATGAAATACATTTTGTACTTGATTGTAAATTGTTTGATATTGAACGTGACACACTATTTAGAACAATCCACTTAGACAAACTGTATAAAGGTAGAACAAAGAAAGAGGTATTCAGTCATCTCATGTCCTCCAGTAATGACCATACAATAGAAAAACTTTGTGAGTTTATCTCCACTTGCTTTAAAAAGAGAGAAGAAATCCTTAAGGCTTAGTTTAGTTTATTCTCTGACTAGTAGTTGTTAAGACGTTACGTCATTCTGTTATTCTGTTATTCTTGTATCTTATGTATCATGTTACTCAGATTGATGTACATGTAACATCACTTTCTGATGTATGCATTTAGCCCCATGGGCATGAACATGCAAATAAATAAATAAATAAATAAAAAATAAATTTAAAAAATCCCTAAGACAGAAATCTGCGGAAATCGTTCCTCTTCCAAACAAGCCCTCAATGAGGTAATTTGAGCGATTTTTGGGAATGGTTAAAATACCATGTTTGCACGCATGCTATGCCACTTGGCAATAATTCATCTTCTTATCTATGCGATTAATTGATACTAAATGTATTATGTCTGGGTTTTCAGGTGGGACAGTGGAAGCACGTCTGCAGAACGTACTACGCCTACCTCGAGGGGCTATGGTCTTCACAAACAACAAAAACTGACACCAACAAAAATAAGACATGTAGCAGTTGTAGCAAGATTCATATGGTATTTGAGGAGCCACACATCAACCTTTGAATAGAGTCACGCTTCCGACAGTCATTTTCTAACATCCATTGCATGTATCGAAATACCTAGTTGGGGTGCTTCCCGGTGTGAGTGGTTCAAAACTGACAGTCCGGTCTTATGCAGCTTATACTGTAAAAACCACGTGTGTGACACCTAAAGGTTGCTTCCTGATTGTGCAAAACGAACAAAAAAACACACAAAACCTTTTCTACTCAAGGTTCATTGGAGGACTTGACTACGAACATGGGGATGTTTTTCTGGTGTGACTTTTCTGCCGTATTTTCTCCAAAGACAGACCCCGGAGACCGCCAGGACCAGCAGGCCTCCCGCTGATCCCAGGACGATGGGAACGAGAACGATGTCTGTCGGGCCATCATTCCCTCCCTGTTCGGGTTTTGCAGCGGTCGTCAGGGCAGGAGTCGTCATCTGCAGGGAACATTCAGCTGTAGGCGCGCCCACGGTCGTAGTACCTGCAAAATAAAGATCGCACACTCATGAGGAATGGTGGATAGGGTTGTTGAATCCGAGGGTTCTGGGTTCAAATTCCTTTCAGGCCCCGGTGTTATGTCCTTGGAAAAGACAAATTTTACTTCCATTTGCTCACTCAACCGAAAATCAGTGCCTAGCTTCGGATGTGATGTTGAATAAATAAAGAAAAGAATAAGTATGCGTTTGATGAACCTATAATCCTTGAAATATGACATGTTTTCCCATAAAATACGACTGACAACTACATGTGTAAGTGGGGTCTAAATGATGATAGGTCACGGTAGGAAACCTACCGATGAGATCACAATACTCACCAGGGGCAGCAGCGGTAAGCGTCAAGTCGTCAATACCAAAGTTTGGGTAGAAGGGAGGATTTGGAATCCCCTCAATGATGACCTGAGATAGAGAAAAAGACGGACAGATATTGACTAGGAATAATACTCATGGCTGTACCGAGAATCAATATCCTCATTATCATCGGTCGGCCCTTAGAGCTAATTCAAAGAAGTTTTGACAAAAAAACGGACAAGTCTATTTTTACAGTATTATGACAATAGCTAGTATAATACATATTTATGCAGGCACTCACTTTGTAAGGACCAGGCTGCCACAACCCTACTCGCACACGTTGCCATGGTAACAGGAGGTCAGAGGTCGAACACACCAGCGATTCTCCACCATGTTCGTCCGCCATGATGATGTTCATGTAGTTTGCGTTAGGCGGCCTGACAGTGCCGATAGCAAAGCTCAGGACCACATGAAGAGTTGTGTTGATGGTTGGACTGATGAATCTAGCTTGGTTGGTGCCAATCATTGGTAGGGTTTCCAAGTAAAAACATATGTACTCGCCAGGATCTGGAATTAAAAGTTCAAACATGGCAAACTAGTAACAAGGAGCTTATATGTCCATGTAAGCTCCTTGCTAGTAACTTTTGTCTTATCACTATCAGCCTAAACGGGAGCTATGCGCCTCAAGATTTCTTACTAAGGGACGACTCTGTTGTGAAAGATAGCAGTTGCATTGTTGCTTGACTGAATGAATCCACTCTTCTTTTCACCAGTAAATAGAGTCTTATGAATGGAGGGCACGTGGCCTATAAATGGCACAAGACCACATCATATAACACTATACCAATCAAGGGGAGACCTGTATAGACCTTTAATCTAGAGAAAATGTGCGGCTTCATATCGTTAACAAAAGCGTCGATAAGAAACGTTGTTAATGTGTTTTAGATTACTGCGTGGTAAGTAAAAAGTCATAACGTGCCGGGTGTGACCAAACCATGTTCGTATCATGACATGTGTCACTGATTTATATTATACTGATTAGGGCGTTTTTATGTGACAAAGAAAGCGATAAACACTCTATCGTTGGCGCCAAATGTAAGTTTCTCTCTATGTAAGCAAATATAAGTGTCTATAGGCACAAACCATTAGTTCCATTGAATGCATTAGTCGACCATCCGTGATCACATCCCCCTGCCCCGTGTGAGATCGGACCGTCTATTGTCCAGTCACAGACGTCATCATCAAAGGAACATCTGTACTGGTCAGCCGTGTCGAGGTCAACTAGGAAGAATGAAATATGAAAGGATGAAATATAAATCATAATGAGACGTAAACTCAAAGTTCTCTAACTCTTAAAGAATTTGGCACATTATCGGCCTTCATCAGCTATCTGACCCACTGTCACGTGTCTACAGTACTTTGATCAAATATCTGATGAAGACCGAGAAATTCAGTCGAAAATTCCCGTAGGTCAAATTCTTTTATAAGTTTATTTCTCATTATATATTTTACAAACTCAGATTAAACTTCATGCTAGTAATATAAATCATGATTTTTATCTTGTAATATCTTAATTGACCCTGGTCCGTAACCTAGAATGTGGACATAACAACAATGCCACAATTAAACGTTATCTGCCACGTATATATAGATTTATTCGGTACGAGTCTCCAAATAATGTAACGTTAATCATTATTGGTGTCAAGGCAATAAAATTTCACCATGTTCGTGCACGATAGTACATACCACTAACTTAAAGTAGTTTAACAGCAACGTTAGCGTATATTAAAATCGCACTTATAGCTTCTAACGTGATCAGCCTGCCCTCAAGACAAAAGTACATCCGAATACAGAAATTGCCACAAACAAAACGAAAAAAGCCTTTGTTAGGTGTTTCCTACTGCTTTAACATCATATAAAATTGCCCTATTCTTGAGATAGTTCTTATTTGAAAACACAACATAAGTGTTAATGGTTTTTAAAATTTGAAGTATGACATATTGTATGTACGGCTACATCCACCTATCTATATTTTTATATGACCTCTTTTGTTAGGAAGAAATAATCCTTCATATAGAGGTCAATAAACTACTGATATCGTCTACGACACAATATGTTTTGATGGTTCAGTCAAACGGTTGGGGGAATAATGATGAAAAGGAATTCAAACAAATTTCAAACGAATGCTCGGGACGTAGCAGAACACTCTCATGTATTCCCACTAGTAGTATACCGAGTATGCGGGACAAACCTACAGAGAACCCATGTCATGTATATACGTACAGGTCGAATATTACGTGCAATTGTGGGTCGTACTTACTCGAAGTGGCTGCGTAGACAAACCACGGGCACAGGAGGAGTGAAGACAGAGCAAGTTTCATGCCGATTTAAAAAACAGTTCCTCCGGTACCTCGTCACTTCCCAAACTGACGCGTTTGGCCTTGTGTGCCGCCCGGGATACGTCTGACGGACGTTGTTGCTAATAACACGTCACACCAAAACACACTGATTTTCACATTTTCTATGGCAGTTATCAGTCCAATTAACGTTACCCACATCTGGATGCCCCAAACATCAATACTGTGACCTATGTGCATGGATACTTTACGATTAAGTTGCTAATGACTCACGTCAACGCACACATTGATTTTGACATCTAGCTTGGCAGCTATCAGTCCAATAAACTCCGGGTGTTCTTATCTTCCAGGTGTCTGGTTGAAGGCGACGATTGTCCAGTAGTTAAGCTGACCAGATGACGAAATGTTGTGTATATTATTTTTCTGCCAGTTTACAAACTGATTGCGGTTTAGTTCAAGCGGATATTCTGCACGCGCTACTACAGGACTAGGGGTAAAGACATAAAGGTACAACAGACATCCATGAATTGAGTGATTGATTTGCTTTACACAATAGTCAACAAACGCCTAGTACAATAAACAAAGGTTAACCTCAAACACCTCAACAGTTTTATACAGTATATCAAGATAGCCATACATTGTTGTAGTTATTGTCAAATTCCGAGCACTGTCTTAGTTTTTCCTTAAATGTTCATACACCGGTGGTCTCAACTCCTGATAGACAGTCTCTGACTCTGGGCGTGCAGGCAGGCTATCCATGGGGATGTCGTACAGTGGATTTGATGGAGACTGCTGAGGACCTGGGCTAGCTGTACTGTTGACCACATCTTCGTATACCTCCGACACTTCTGCAAATGGCAAAATGACATTATTTCAAATCTGGGCAAGCAGATAGAATGAAATGATTCAGTTCATACAGACAGTGGCAACAAACAGGTTTAGATTCCATGCCGGCCCCAATACATATTTTTGTGCTGTTAATTACAATTTTATTAATTGTATCGTTTGTTTTATTGTATCATGATCAGAATCACATTATACGCAAAATATNCAATAAAATTTCACCATGTTCGTGCACGATGGTACATACCACCAACTTAAAGTAGTTTAACAGCAACGTTAGCGTATATTAAAGTCGCACTTATAGCTTCTAACGTGATCAACCTGCCCCCAAGACAAAAGTACATCCGAATACAGTAATTGCCACAAATAAAACGAAAAAAGCCTTTGTTAGGTGTTTCCTACTCCCTTATCATCATATAAAATTGCCCTATTCTTGAGATAGTTCTTATTTGAAAACACAACATAAGTGTTAATGGTTTTTAAAATTTGAAGTATGACATATTGTATGTACGGCTACATCCACCTATCTATATTTTTATATGACCTCTTTTGTTAGGAAGAAATAATCCTTCATATAGAGGTCAATAAACTACTGATATCGTCTACGACACAATATGTTTTGATGGTTCAGTCAAACGGTTGGGGGAATAATGATGAAAAGGAATTCAAACAAATTTCAAACGAATGCTCGGGACGTAGCAGAACACTCTCATGTATTCCCACTAGTAGTATACCGAGTATGCGGGACAAACCTACAGAGAACCCATGTCATGTATATACGTAACAAGGTCGAATATTACGTGCAATTAGTGGGTCGTAACTTACTCGAAGTGGCTGACGTAGACAAACCACGGGCACAGGAGGAGTGAAGACAGAGCAAGTTTCATGCCGATTTAAAAAACAGTTCCTCCGGTACCTCGTCACTTCCCAAACTGACGCGTTTGGCCTTGTGTGTCGCCCGGGATACGTCTACCGGACGTTGTTACTAATAACACGTCACAACAAAACACACTGATTTTCACATTTTCTATGGCAGTTATCAGTCCAATTAACGTTACCCACATCTGGATGCCCCAAACATCAATACTGTGACCTATGTGCATGGATACTTTACGATTAAGTTGCTAATGAGTCACGGCTACGCACACATTGATTTTGACATCTAGCTTGGCAGCTATCAGTCCAATTAACTCTGGGTGTTCTTATCTTCCAGGTGTCTGGTTGAAGGCGACAGTTGTCCAGTAGTTTAGCTGGCCAGATGACGAAATGTTGTGTATGTTATTTTATTGGCTCGTGGCTCTTTGACATCTACTTTCTGCCAGTATACAAACTGATTGCGGTTAGTTGAAGCGGATATTCTGCACGCGCTACCACAGGACTAGGGGTAAAAACATACAGGTACAACAGACATCCTCAACTTAACTGAGTTATCTGAGAAAGAGTGAAGTCTGCATGCAACAGTGTTGATATCTTTAATGAATTGAGTGATTGATTTGCTTTACACAATAGTCAACAAACGCCTGTACAATAAACAGGTTAACCTCAAACAGTTTTATACAGTATATCAAGATAGCCATACATTGTTGTAGTTATTGTCAAATTCCGAGCACTGTCTTCTCAGTTTTTCCTTAGATGTTCATACACTGGTGGCCTCAACTCCTGATAAACAGTCTCTGACTCTGGACGTGCAGGCAGGCTACCCATGGGGATGTCGTACAGTGGATTTGATGGAGACTGCTGAGGACCTGGGCTAGCTGTACTGTTGACCACATCTTCGTATACCTCCGACACTTCTGCAAATGGCAAAATGACATTATTCAAATCTGGGCAAGCAGATAGAATAAAATGATTCAGTTGATACAGACAGTGGCAACAAACAGGTTTAGATTCCATGCCGGCCCCAATACATATTTTTGTGCTGTTAATTACAATTTTATTAATTGTATCGTTTGTTTTATTGTATCATGATCAGAATCACATTATACGCAAAATATACATAAAACACAATAAACATGAGAATTGCCTGAAGATGACATATGACATTCAAGAAAGCCCGTTACGCTTGAAACGGATGTTCTAATACAGACAAGCAAGAAAAGTTATACATATTGAGAAAGCCCCGATGATTTCATTTACTTGCCTTTCATATTCCGAAGATGCTGTATCAGAAGCGTGGCCAGAACTCCAACCACAACTCCCACAGCAGCAGCGGTGATGGCGATTCCTGCACACACTGCGGGGTCTACACCGGATGAAGATGAACCAGGGCTTCTTTCGGGTGAGGTAGTGACCTGGCGTGGACATTCAGTAACCACCGCTGGACATGTGCATCCTGTTTCCGCTTCTATTACATGACAGAAATGACAAACACCAGACAAATTATATTAATTAGTTCTCCCTCTCAACAAACAACTACCCAAGCAAAGGAAAACAGTAGTCTTAATTACCATAACGTTTTTAAAAGAGCGGGACGATTTACATTTATATTCATAAGGGCCCTATTATATTGCTAGATTTCTAATGGAGGATCGTCCGGATTTCTTTAAAAAAAACGTCTGTTTTTCGGAGACGTGTGTTGATCTCATCCTTAGCACTTGTCGTAAGAAGACTGAACGTACCTTGAATACTGGTCGTGCGAACAGTGGCCGTATTTTTACCGATGGTCAGAGGCAATGTGGACGTGTCCTGACTACTAGTCTCGGAAAAGGTTGTCCTATCATGACTACTGGTCATTGGCCTTGGGTCATAGGGCGTCCCTTGGCTGCTTGTCTCGGGTAGTATGGTCGTATAGTGGCTACTCGTCATGGGCTGTTTGGTCGTCTCCTGACTACTAGAAAGTGTTGTCGTATCCTGACTAACAACCAAGGGCATTGTAGTGTCATCTTGACCACTGGTCATAGGGAGTGTTGTGTTGTATTGCCGAGTTGTCATACGGGGTGTGGTGACCAGCACAGTGGAACATGTAGTCGTTTGTGCGCCCACGTTTGCCGTAGCTGAAAAATAAAGAGTTGGAATTAGCGCTGCCATGATCTTCAGATAAGAAACAAAGAGGTAAATGGTGTGTGAATGGGAGTGTCCTTACCTTTGTCTCAGATTTTGAATTTGATGTCGAAAGATAGCCAAGATACGACCGTATTGATGGAGATAATGCTCACCATTTTCAACGACTGCCAGTGCCAATTCGTCAATACCAAAGTTCGGATAGAAGGGAGGATCGGGAATACCTTCAATCACAATCTGAAACAGAAAACAGAAAACTATCAAATCCTTGCATATTGAATACTGCATGGCTGAAATTAACCCCCCCCCCTCCATCAAAAAGAAAGACAACCAGATCATATTATTGGGATATTAGACACTTGACAATGGGGATTTAATCAATAAAACACTCACCCTGTAAGGTCCAGGCTGTACAATCCCGACGTATATTCGCTGGAATGGATACAGGAGGTCAGAGGTCGAACACAGCAGAGTTTCCGTACCATTGGTACCGGTCTCGTTCACCAGGAGGACTCTGAGGTACGTGGAGGTCGGCGGCCTCACGGTGCCAACAGAGAAACCCAACACCACGTGCTGAGTAACACTGATGATTGGACTGATGAGTCGGGCTCGGCCTAGACCTGGGAAGACCGTCGGTAGGTGCTCTAGGTAGAAACACATGTACGTACCGGGAGCTGGAGCAGAGTAACAAAAGTTGAGGCATTGTATACAATAGATAAGGCAGTAATCTGTAGATTAGGTTTGAAGACATACTTGCCCATGTTTACTTAGATTTAAACAAGAAAGCTAAGATCACTTGCATGCAGTGTTGACTTATAACCACTGAAAATGCTATTGGATCCTTGTATATCATATGTTTATCATAGTGGCAGGGCACAAGTATATCTGTCACCTAGCATTCATGTCGAAGAAAAGATGAATGAAAAATATAAACTCACCGGTAGCGCCATCAACTGCATCAGTCGGCCATCCGGGATCACAATTCCCTGGTCCATTGTAGATCGGTCCTTCTGTCATCCAGTCACAAATATCGGCGTCAAAAGAACATCTGTACTGGTCATCGGTGTCCAGGTCAACTATAACGGTTCATAGAAAATGAAGATCAGAATATGAGTCAACCCGGTAATACTTTACCTTGTCACAGACAGCAATCACAATGAACTTAGTATTACTTATTATATGCCTATAAGGAAATCAATTATGGTCTCATTCATGAGTTTTTTCCATACATTAGAAACCATGCATTAATGAGTGACTTACGAGACCGTGTTCCCTATGATCCTACATTAAATTAATTGATATCTTTCATGCTATGTTGAGCACACTTAGTCTACGTCTCATAAAAAAATTGCCAACGACTTCTATACACACAATCCCCTTTTATGGGAATTACAAACTGCAACTAGCGGCTGCCCGCAAGAGGCCCTCCCGCGCTGCAAACCTACGACCGCACAACTCACAACACTGGACTGTGCACGTCCGACCTAGCGCGCGGCTGCCGACAATTATGTCCTAATTTCATCAGTTACAAACAAGCTTTCACCGCTTTGACGCTTTACATCAGTTGGGATGGCTAAAGGGGAAATTCTCACCAATAAAAACACCCGTTCATACAGCCGTTTAGTTTTTGACTTGGTACTCTTTTAGGGGTTACACTCGGAGTAATACATGAATGAGACCTTATGTCATGGTTCAGTTGCAAATATCAAATTCGCCAATGGAACTGTGCTATCAAAGTATAGCCATCTTATCGTTTTATATGGGGCTGTTTTGAACGAACGTCATAAACTTCCAAGGCTACACCACTTAATTTTATGGATGACATCCGCGCGCGCATTGATTTTCGCCTGTTCTCCAAAAAAAAAAAAAGATCACGTCCTCCAAGGCTCTGGCCTGGCTCTAGGCTTGCGTAGTCCATGGTAGTTAGCGACAATACGGTGACGGTAACTTTAGAGGATGGCACCCAGGCTACTAACGCGAAGCTCCACGACTCAAGAACTCAGTACATTCCGCAAAAAGCCAACATGTGCCGGCTTGTCGTATACGTCCCTATGTACTGCCTCAAATTCACAATACGATCTTTGTATTCCTGTGGTTTAGTAGCATTTTTATTTTTGGCCGGAATTTTTTTTATTCGCCCGCGCGCACTAGTTTGGGGGTCTTCAGAGGATGTCATCCATAATATCAAATCAGTGTGGCCTAATGCCTCATTAGTATATTAGATAAAATGGCTGTGGAATGAGCCGCCGTATGGCTTAATATCATTTCATAAACCTGTTCACTAGACAAACCATGACGGCACATATGGTATGAAGATACAAGGAAAGCTTTTAATCTAAACGTCATGGTGGCAAAACCGAAAACAACAGTATAATACAAGCTGACTCATTTCTAAACATCATAGAGTTTCCAGCGTTGTACAACTCGGGGAGCTGTCGTTCTGTAACCATAAAGTACACACATAGGAAATTGGATAAATACTGAAACTAGCTGGTTGCACTCGTTACAGATCATAATGTCACATCAAGTGATATAAAGGAGTTAATCAAGTAAAAGTGCAGATGGAACCCCTTCCAACTTTCAAAAGATATCTAAAAATTGACCTGATAGGGACGCCATCTACCACTTCTTGATTTGCTTTTGTTTTCCTTGTTTTCTTATGCTACGTTTATTTGATTTTGTGTTAATATTGCTTTCTTATGTTTATCCTTTCATTTGCTCTTATGCATAATAACTTATGATTTGACTAATGGAATTTTTGTTTGTTCAATTTGACATGTTTTTGATTTTTGATAGTCTTACTTTTTTGTTTAGTCAATTAGTCATTTTGATTTAATTTGTTTCGTTGTAACTTATTTACAATACACGTGTGTAAAAAGAGGTCATAAAAACAAATGGATTTTAGGAGAACCCACTCGATAAACCCTTAGGTTTTTTGGGTTCTCCCGCACATTTGGTTGTATATATTCATTACATACTGTTTTTATTTTTATGTGCAAACTGAAATAAACAAACAATAAACAAACAATAAACAAACCACAAGAGGCAACAGAACATGCATCGATGAGGATGACTGGTACACAGTTGTACAATTGATGTGATCTTCATCCAATTCTGACGTAGGATCTACTATAAGAAATAAGTACGGAATACCTCCCTTTGACAAACAGCTTGAGATACTCAAGAATCTGAAGGGTTTCAGAAAACACTTCGCAGATGGCCTTAATACCACCTGAGTTTGGGATATGAACACCGTACTTACTTGCATCGGCGGCAAGGGAAAACCATGCGAAAAAGAGAAGGATGGATACTGCAAGCCTCATGATGACCAACACAACAGCAATACAAGTTCATAGACTCTACGCTTGGCGTGAATTGACTACAATCCCAGCCTATTAACTACATACATGTAGGTATGTGAACCTACGTGCAAGAATGCGTCAGGACGTGGTTTCTAACGCGTCATAAAACAAACTACCCTCTGGTTTTTGACACACTGCTTAGCAATTATCGGACTTGTCATAAAAACGTTGACCCCGCCTTAGCCTCTTATCGTTCACCTGTTTATTAAAGGTGCTGGTAAATTACTAGTAACCTCAGTAGTTCACATGACCAGGTAATAAAACTGCCGAGGTTATGTACACATTACTCACCGGACCGTTTGAGCGTAGAGCTGTTCCTTATGTCAAACGATTACGAAGGATCGTGTGCTAACGGTGCCAATTGAGTTTATAGTGGCACAGGTACCCGCCATTCCTGCAGAAAATGGTCTTTCGAGTGTTTTCACATAAAAAAAGTACAGTAGCACGATGACTCCTTTGTTGGGTCAACATGTCCTGGTGTCAATATTTGTGTTAAATCTAATCCCATGAGACCAGTATCTTAATGACTTCCTTAATTCGCAAATGTTGTGGCACGGTGATCAGAGTCATATGAGATATGACGTCATTGGAAACAGTCCGGACCATATTCATCACTAATCACAGATATGGCCGGTGTTGTAAGGGAGATCGTGTTTAATTGGTCCGTGTGTGAGGCATGGCGCCAGGACCAGTCATTATAACTATGGGGCACTTGAAGAGTACCAGGACGTCGCATCGGCAGAACGCACTACGCCTGCGCGAAACTCGTAATGTATTGTACATAGCACTTCATCAGAACGTCTAGTCTAAGGTCGTATTCGCGTAATTAAGGATGACATCCCGTCTATACTCGTCAAATCTTGTGTCGGAAATGATACCATCTGCAACTGGCAAAATTCTTATGCAACGTTGCCCAAACATCCAACGAGAACCGTGAAAATCCGAGTTTCGCGCAGACGCTCACATTCTGCCGACGTACTAAGAGCACGAATGGTCACCGATTGTTTAACCTGATCTTGTTCTCTCCTGTGAGAGGTTTTGAAATGTTGGTGTCTTGGTAGAGCATTAGATCTTTCGTCGATTGGAAGTTAAGACTTATACCCACGGAAGCCTCACGGCGGTCGGTTGCTAGGCTAAAAGTCGCATTACTAGGGAGGTATCGGGTTACAGAACGCGTTCGAACGTGGCCGCGCGGGAGTCCCGGGCCGGCCCGGGGGCAACGGGTAAAATTTGAAAATAAACAAAAGTAATTGGAGAGTAAATACTTGTCAAAATAAAATGTAACTAGAGGTCGGAGATCTCATGTCTTCGTCAGAGGGACATTGTTCTAGATAAAGGAACGTTTTTTGATACTAGAAATCAATTTGGTCTAGAGTACAAAAGAATTTCTGTACTCCTTTTTTTCCTTTTTTTTATTCTACGACAGTGTCGCAAAATGTAATGAGAAGATGTGATGAAAGGAAAGAATCAGAACGGGGGGAGATTTATTGCTGTTTTCCTTTGTTGTTGCACTATGTTCTTTTATTCAATTTGTGTCCTAACCTTTGTATTTCCACAGTTAGTATGTTCCAAATCTGTGCATGTTAATCAGGTTTTTCTGGCTTTCATGTATTTTATTGCGCTTGTGCAATAAATTTAAGATCTCCAGTGGACGTCATCCATAAGATTACTTGGTCTGGCCTTACAATTCAGGGAATGACCTGCCTGATGCATGTCCACCTTTTTCCTCCCCCGCCCCAGTATTTATAGGACAGCCCCTCTATTGTACGCAATTGATACCAGATGTGGCCGGGGACAGCTGTCCCCCATGTGAATCAATGCAGAGATTGGTGGGGGTAGTACATTATATATCTAACACAAAAGGTCCACTGCAGCGACATTGGGACCCCCCACGAGGCCCGTTTTCGAACTTGACCTTGGCCTCCACAATGGTAGCTTGCATACCAAAAATCATGAACATCTATTTAAATATACTCGAGCTATTTTGCTAACAAGCCACAAACACAAAAAAATCCACTGCAGTGACGTACGGACCCCCCACGAAGCCCAAACTTGCACTTGGCATTGGCCTCCACAACGGTAGTCTGCCTGCCAAAAATCATGGACGTCGAATCATGCCTTCAAGAGTTATTCCGCTAAATCCGCAGTCACCCACAATCCGGCGAGACAATTTCATAGTCCTTCTGACGAAGACAATAAGTGATTCTGTTTACCTCAAATGTTATTCTTGCACTGCGTTTGCTCCACTTTGTGTACATTTGCTTCCAAATGAGATCAATTTCGGATTTCAAAAAGGGTTCACGAGAACCAAACAACTGATTTTAAGAGGCCCCGAAAATTAAAAATAAGGTTAAATTTTTTGGATTTTTAGAAATATTACAGTAAATTTAAACTTTCTGTCTCAGGATTTTTTATTTTTTAACTAAAACTCGACTTACAGTCAAAAGAAGAGCTAAAAACGCAGTGTTTTAACTTTAAATACCGATAATTCATAATCGCGGCCATATTTAAAAAATCCCTAAGACAGAAATCTGCGGAAATCGTTCCTCTTCCA